ATATTGTCTTAAAGGAGCTCCATCTGATTCATCAAATACACATGAAAGGTGCACCCATTCAGCAAGCAAAACCTTCCAGATGAGTCATTAATAGGGCTTATACTTGAAACAACTTCAACACGTAAAAAGGAGGAAAAGTTTGTATGACCTGCTGCCTTTCTACAGCATAAAAACCCTACAGACAAGATGGTAATTGAGCCCCCAGACTTTCCGTTGAGCTATACATAATTTAAAGGGGCATCCAGTCATGGATGGATTTAAGGTGGTGGCAAAACTAACACACCACTAGATAACTCAGTGAGAGGGTTCATTGCCCTTTGTGCTGAAAGCACCTGCCGGCCTTCTGGGTGGGACACAATCCTTGCATATTTTGTGTGGGCCACTCAGGCACAACAGTACTGTTATCTTGTCCCTGGTGGTGGTAGGGACATGTTATACAATCCGACAAGGGCAATTAATCTTCTGTGACTGCATGCCCCCATATAGAACAACCATACAGTCAAGTTGTATTCATACTTGTTATTTCCTGCTTTGAAACATCCCTGAGTTGCATAGCTGGAGATTTCAGCCTCTCTTTAATATTAATTAAGCAATCTTCATTACCCTTCCAGACTAGGCAACAGTATTGCACAACATTGGCAAATTGAGCATTTTTCATTTCAAAATCATTAAGCATTCTTTAAGCACATACTTTCTTACTACAGTACTTCACACTTTTCAGTCAGACAAAGCACTTCCCCATTTTAAACGGGAATTAGGAAGTTAATGAAGCACTGGATCCACCAGCAAGGAGAGCCACTAGTCTCATCCTACTGCACTCCTTCTATCACAGGAAGGCTGAGTGCAGGGAGCCAGCTGAGCCCCACGCAGACAATTTCCTCGTGGTGGTGGGAGTGTGTGGAAGAAATCCTCTCAGAGGCAGCACCAGGCATAACAAAATAGCCCTTTACCCAGGGCGGCAAATTACCAGGGGCAGCAAAGTGGCCATGATCCAGCCGCCTGCTCTGCTGTGCTGGAGCCCTGGAAAACTGCTGCTGAGAGAGGGGTCAGGGCGTGTGGAGCAGCAGGTTTGGCAGGGAAAGGAGCTGGTTCTTCCCAGCAGCTAAGGCACTGCTTGCACCCCTCCTGTTTCAGCAACAGCTGAGGCAGCCAGCCTGACTTTCCAGGGCTGACAGCCCCCAGCAGCTCCCTCTGCTACCAGTGCCCACCGGGGCTGCCACCAGTGGCAGACCACACAGTCTGCCTCTACCGTGGCTCGTGCAGCTGCGCCTGTCTGGCATGTCACAGGGTGAGCAAAAAGGGAGAGACAATCAACCATCGCTGCAATGCACCTCCTGCTCCAGACTCCTGGATCAAACTCTGCCCAGACTTAAACCCATTTATTCTACAGGTCTACACAGCTGCAATCTCAGCTTTCAGGCTGCAGCTTCTGCTACTAAAAACATTCTTATCTTTGATTAGATCTGATTAAAAGGAATTGCTCTTTTGATATACCTGACACTCTTTGAATCCCTATCAGCCCACTGTCTTTGTACAGTAGGGACCAACAGTTAGTCGTTAGCATCCACAGCCAGACCATGCCTTGCAAACACATCCAGTCCCACCCTCCCAGAAGCAGCAGTGGCCCGTTTCCCACACATCCACATGTCCAGGTCCACACTGCTCTAGGAACCTCAGTCCCTTTCACAATTTTTATTAGCATTTTACCTAACATTCCCAAGTTCAACTGCACTTGTACAAATTCATGGCATTTGATGGTAAATGAAATTTTTTTTACATTGGCAAGTGAAATTTCTATACAGTCAAATTCCTAGAAGCTGAATTATGTGTGAGTCAAAATGCATATCTCTAGTGCTGCTGTACGTGCATCACTTGCTGGTTTTACTGTTGTCATCCTTCTCTTTTTCCTTACAGACTGCTACTTTGGTCTTCTTGAACTACAAGGAAGTATGTTTGCCTGCAAAGCACATTCAGGTAGGTGGTGACACTGCAGCAAGACATGTGATCTCAAGATGGCATGTGAATATACTTGGGATGGGTTACTCCTGATGCAAGACCTGACACTGACCTACCTATGACTATCAGAGGTGAATACCTTCTTCAAAAATTCACTGCAAACACTCAGACAGGGATAGTTATGGTCCACACCTGCTTGAATCATAGCTTGACTACAGAATAATGTAATGCTAAATTTGAGTGTATCAATTTAAACTCATCCCTAGTTTTTAATACACCTAAAGGAACTGCAAAAGCCAGGACTATCTGATTGACGTGTCAGTAAATGGTTTCTCAATAATTTCTTAGAGTATCAATTTTGGAATTGGAAGCATTGCCTTCAGAAATACATTTGTTCTTGAACTCTTCATTGAAGAAGGTAAAAAAATATATATTGTTTACAGCCACCACCATAAAAAAGTGCCCCCTCACCCCTGCCTCTCCTAGAAAACATGGAAGTCTTTCTCTCATCCACTGCTGTATTCACTTCTGGTCAAACATCTTGTTTGTCGGAGAGTGGTAGCCTGACAGCAAGCTAACTGTTCAGGATGGACACGCTTCATTCTGCTGATGGACCAAAAAGTCTATATGGCAAATGTAACTACCCTGGTTTGACAGGCCTACTGAACATATAGTTACATCTTTGGGAAACCCAGCTGCGTGAGCTTCAATTAGCCATGCAGAAGGCCCCTTCTCTACCATGTATCTTTGTAAAAGCCCAACAACAACATCCATGCACTTTCATATTCACCAGGTAAGTGAAAGGGGAAAACAGTCTTCTCCATGCATACATGCACTCCCCCCTCCACGCACATGCACACATCTATTTGCCCAATGATTCCTTTGGAGAATTACGTGGTTTTAAAAGTACTCCTGACTGGTGAGCAGCTCCTGTGAAAACTTTAACACAGTTTTCAAGAAAAACATGAGCAGCAATTTGCTAAGCATAGCAAACTGTCAGCATTGCAAAGGCCACAAAGGAGGGACAGGTCTCTGCCCCAGTTTGAGTAACATGGAAAAGGGGAGGCCACTTGAAGCACACAGGAACTTTGGTATAGAGGAGATTGTTGCAGGTTTATCTTCTCAAGCGGCAAGGCATAAAACAGTCTATAGAAGAGAAACAAATATAAAATAAGTGATTGTTAAGAGTTTAGGGTCAGGAAGGATTATAGGTATAATATTAGTCATGGTCCAGTTAACAGAAATATTTCCATCACAGCTGCAAGGATCAAGCCTTTGGGACTTTAGTCATCGGACAGTAAGAAAGGCACAGGAAAAGAAATAGCCTCTTCTTTCTTTTCAAGCTGTCTCCAACAGCAGCTGTTTTTCTTTTGCTGTTCCACTGAGCCACAGAAACAGAAACAGGCTTAGTGAATCTCTATACCTCAGAGTAATTTACAAACCAAACTTAACACCACCACCAACAAATGGGTCCTTCATATGCTTCCAGTAACACTGGAAACAGTCCCACAGCAACCACCAGTTCCAAACAGTCCAAAGGTCTTGGCAGAATTGAAGTCAGGATCCAAATTTAGCAGTTATGAGCTGCATGCTGTGGTTCAGGTTATGAAAGGAGAAAGCAGACTTTCTCATCTGTAGACCCAGGAAGCAGAATGACTCAGGCCCAGTGCATGATTTCAGGTAGTGACCCTCCCTTTATAAGGATAAAACATAGGGCCCTCAAAAATTTTGGAAAGCAGAGGATTCACAGATGATGTCCCAACTGTCCCTGATGTCCCAGGGTCAGCTGGAGTGACCCTGGGGGCAAGAAAGAAAAAGTTTTGTGGCATACATGGGTTCACAGAGATTGCAAAGACCCAGAACAAAAACTGAGACTCACCTTCTAGAGGATCTTGTATATTGCATATACTATAACGTAACAAACCAGTGATATGTGTAACTCCTCAAAGCAGCATCTAATGACTAATCCATAGCACTATTTTATGCCCTTCTCTCAGCGAACTGTCAATTTTATATTCACATTTCCTATGCAGCCTCTCTTTCTACTATTCATGATAGCCCCATCAGTCACAAAATCATATTATGTACTTAGAAAGGCTTTGACAGCTGTAAGAATTCAACAAGACAATGCCAGCAGCGAATGCTTAAGTGATCACTTTACTTTTTACCCAATCTTGCAAAGGCTGAAGGATCAACTGCTGTTTTGCTGTTGCAGTGATTTGCCTCCTAAAAATGCTTGGGAGTACTGGAATAGTCCACGTACCAACACACAGAGCAGCGGGATCCCGTGTCACTGAGGGGGTATACTGGCACTTGAGGGCAATGCTGGGAAACAAAATCAACTCTCTGCGCTCTCCATTGCTACATAATCTTGTCTCTTCTACCTTCACTTCTCGACAGTTATAGATTTTTCTTCACTTATCTGCACCACAGGAGTGAGCGTTATTAATAAGTGTTAGAAGGCACCCAGCCCAGTAAAAGGCATTAATTCTTCTATTACAGGGAGAAGTACACAGATAATAGATTTAACAGAGCTTTCTCTTCAGATTTTACTTTCTATTCCATAACATTTTCACCCTCAAAAACAAGGATATGGCCATTACCAGTATCCACTCTAAATCAGCTAGCAATCTACTGCTTAAAAGTGACAAAAGGGAGTGGTCATCAACTGAGCAAAAACAAGATTTTTCCAGTACCATCTGTAGCACTACAATGTGTCATGGCAGGAAAACCATGAGCACGTCAAAGCAACGTTCAGGATGTTAGAATAAGGCTTGTAAGGTGATCATCTCAGAACAATCTCAGACAAAACATCCTGGAAAGTCCCCATTCTGCTAAAGAGATACACTACAGCCTCTGAACTGTAGTGTAGCCTCTGAACTAACCAGAATTTTGTCCTCTCTTTACCTATTCCTTTGTGTTTTGTTTGCCCATCTCCAGCTCTAATTCAGATAAAGCTGATGGAGTTGTGGAGGCTACCTGTCTTCTGCTGCTCTGCTGCTGATCCATCGTCTCAGTTGCCATAGAGACAACATCTAGAAGCCATGGATGGGCACGGGAGAGAAGCCGCGCACAGGCTCCGTGCTGGTGGACTCTGGCAGGGCCTTTCTCAGCAGGTACTGAGAGAGTCAGGTTCAGTCTCTGAAGGTGAGGAAGAATCAGAAGGTGCAAACCTGGTGGCCCACGAGAGGGATGCACACACACATTACATTGCCATTCAAAGAAATTCCAGGTACTACCGGTCCATGAGGCTGCCGAGCAGAGAGAAAAGAAAGACTTCCAGAGAGGCAATGCACATGGGGCGTGCTACAGGTGAGTACTGGCCCAAACAGCATTATGCTTCCTTTTCCAGTGAGATTAGGAACTATAGCAGTCGATGAGATTAGAAAAGGGACAGGGAAGGTAGAAAGTGGCTCAGCAGTCAGCACATTACAGAACACCCCAGCCCTACGGCACAGCTGGCAGAGAGGTGCCATCCTTCTTTGCTCAGCCTGGAAATGCAAAATGGTTGGATGTTTAAACATACTTCATGGCAGAGAATCTAAACAAATGTGGGTCTTTGGTCTGCCACCCCTCTGCTCTCTAAGAAAGAAATAATTTAAACAGGGAAAGGCATAAAGCTGTCAACAAAGTAGGAACTTCTTTAGCATACAGAAAGGACATATTCGAAAGTATTAAGATCTATACAAGTAACTGTATGGCAAGCTGAGCAAGCGTATAGAGGAAACAGTCAGCAAAAACAGAGCAGTCCATTTAGGGACCGAGCCTGCGGAAGTTGCAGTGGACCATTATGAGAGGTGAGGAGACTTCTCTGCAAATGCAGTTGCTGCCACCTTGCATTGAATACAGCTGTAAGAAGCACCTAAGCTCCTTTTGAACTAGGAGGCTGAAGCAACAGGAACACACATGCAATCAGCCATGGCTGAATAGAAATGGAACAAGTTGGGTTTCTCGGAGTATGAACAGTACAGAGCATGACTGCAAGGCCAGGCTTTCACTGAGCTGGCACCTTGTCTGAGCAGCTGCCTGTGAAAGAATCAAGAGAGAAAGATGAAAAGCTGAAGAGAGAGCCAGGAAAGCAGCTATTGCAACACACAGAACACAGAAGATGCCCTTTGCTTCATCTCCCTGGTGTCCAGAGAAATTAAATTTTATAACTCCTCGTAAATAAAAGGAATTGCAGTGAAGATACCTATCCTATCTTCAGATTATAATCTAACAGAAACAATGCGCTGGACTCTGAACTTTGGCTAGCTGCACGAGTCAAAATAATACAACACTACTCCTGATGTTTGAGTACCATGCAAGACACTGAAAGCTATTGCTCTGTTCTGCAGGAGTAAAGCACACCGTTTCAGCCCCTGAAAGCAGACCAAGTTCTACAAGAAAAAAAAGAACAGACATCCTCCACCCCAATATAAAAGAGGTCTGGGAAATGTCCCCAGGAAAATAGGTGTCTGCTGCCTGCCTCACCAAGGGAGACATGCTATTTCGGCAGCATAAAGGCCCATTCAACCCTATGGCATGGACAGAAGGAAAGTTCCCTCCCTTCTCCAAGTTTCCAAGCAGACAGCAGCTGAGCAAAAAGCTCCTGTTTAATATTCTGCTACTGTTGTCAATGAGGTTTGTGGATAAACTGAGCGTCGCCTATGCCAGAGCAGAGCTGCTCTCCACCCTGCCAGCGCAGCAGTAGGACCGGAGCAGAGCCATCCTCTCACTGCCTTCCCAGAGCGCTGCTGCAGAGCAAGCACAGAAGACTCACCCTCTCTCCCGCTCCCCAAGCGTCACAGCGTCCAGACCAGGGGTTACCTGCTCCTGCCACTGCAGCAGGACCAGCACGGAAGGACGCACCTTCTTCATACATCTGCAGCATCACAGCATCAGGACAACAGCACAGGAGGGCATCCCTCCTGTCTAGCCAGTGTCATTGAGGAAGGACAAGCTAAAAGAAGGGCTCCTCTCTTAGCAGCTCATTACAGCATCCACAGAAGCTGACCTGCGCTTCCCTCCCACACCCCCCTCTCTGTGTTACTGCTGAAACAGGATCTGTTCCATCCAGTCCATACAGCAGGACCTGAGCTAGGAGCAGTAGCTCTTTCTCCAGTATGACTGTAGCAAGTCCAGCTCAGAGATACAGCTTCTAAATTCAGCTAGGATTGTGTAAGCAGCTCTTCCACCCTCTCCCTCTACTCCACTGATTCCATCCCCTCTCCCTGAAACTGGACAGCGGGTGCTTCTACACCAGCCTCATTTGTAGCAGGAACTTCTGACAGCATTTGCTGACGTGCATGGAAGCAAGGGATGGGTGAGCTCTTTTATCTTGACTTCAAACCCATTTGAACAGCAGCTATCCAAGAGTCTGACTCAAGCTCAGATGTTAACCTGTTCTCATTTTGCTTAGGGAATGACTGGGGAGGGGGAAGTGGGGGGCGGGGGGGGAGGAGGAGGAAAGAGGAAAGGAAGAGAGGAAAAGGTACAGGGAAAAATACAGAGTAGGATACAAAACGGGAAAAATAGAGACTCAAGAAATGAGAACAAGAAAAATAATGTAAAAGAATGTAAATCCAGCAGAGAGAAAGGCTTTTATATAGGCACCCTTTGGACCAGCCAAGCTTTGGCTTATAGCCTAGAAGCTGTAAAACATAATAGATGCTTTCCTTTAATTGGAAAAAAGAGTTTGTTTTTTTAAGCAATCTCTTCTGACAGAAGGATAAAATGTTTAAACTATTGAAAAGGCAAGGACGATAACTCAAACTAGCATTTCTTAAGCCCTTGGCACTGTTTTAGGGAGTTTTAAAAGTCTGGATTTCACCCTTTCCCTCTGACAATCTGTAGCATTGATTAAAAGGGTGCATCAGAAACCAGTTTCAGTCAGAGCATTGACCTGCCTTTGCTGTGACCAGTTGGAAAAGCAAACAGATTTATGACTTAGACCAAAATATTTCTAATAATAAACAAGGCCATTTATCAACAGGCCTCAGACAACAGGAGGTTTCCTTTGAAAAGGGAGATGCATCCTCTCCTGCCAAGTATTGCAGTAGTAAGCCATGGACTTAATAGGACTTTGGCTCCTCGTGAAAGGAGACGAGTTTCATCTGAGGGAAACTTGAGAAGCAATTAAGAGCAAGGCTCACCCAAATCTAGCCTTGATTTATTCAGTAAACTGAACATCTACTGTGTGCCTGAAAGCAGAGCAGTAATGAAGCCCTGACTTGCGAAACTGAATGCATGCACAGGCACACACAGCAAAACCTTTTCTGCTTAAAGAATTGCATTGAAAATCACTAATGTTTTCAGCGGTGAGAGTGCTATTCACATACATAAGGACTGATATCGTATACCTACCTTTGCCTTTTCTCAAGTGCATTTGCAGCTGTGACAAAGGCTGTACAATCTTGCACTATGCACTATGCAAGCTGATAGCACTTCAATTTTCTTTGAAACCCCAAGCTAAAATACAGCCACCTTTGTGCCTGTGGTCTTCTTGCCCTTGGTGTAAGCAAAGTACTACCTACAGTAAAAGTAAAGATGACCCTTAAGAAAACTACTGGTTTTAACATCCTCCTGGCTTTCTGTTGTGTCACAGGTTCACTCAAAAGCAATGAGCCGGTCAAAGAGCCTCTGAACGTTTTATCTCATAAAGGATCACCATCTCCAGTAAACTCTGATAAGACCGCATTAGATGAACTATGGATCCAAAGGTAAGGAAACGCACAAGCAGGATATTCACCATGCCTCCACTGAAGAATATAGGCAGAGTGGTGTCAGAGCAAGAATGCTTGTTTTGGGGAGGACAGCTAGACTAACCTATAGCTACTGATCCATGCCTTCTCCCCCTGACTTGTAGTGCTATTTTCAGTCTTAATGATATATATCATATAATACTAGCATCATGGTATAAAGGGTCTTATCAGTATGAGTTTGAAGAAGATAGTGAAGGAGAAGGGGGGGGGGGGGGGGGAACAAGAAGATAGTGGGGAAGACTCAAAAAAGAGGAATGTGATGTAGGATACCCAGTGGCATAAGCAAAGCGGGCAGACTGCCTTAAGCAGCTTGTTGAGAGAATAAGGAGAGCCTGCGGGCATTTACTTATGGAACATCCCAACTAAGTGTGATCTCATTCTCAGCCCCCCCAGAGGGCACTCCTGAAACATGTTACATAACCCCACATGGAAAACAGGATTTTATAGCTGAGGAAGTAGCTACAAAGATGTTTTCTAAAGTATTCTTTCCGTTTGCTTTTACTTTGAAGAACCAATAAGCAACAGAGGCTTTCAGTGAGGTAGCCCCTTTTGGCTTAAATCCCTCAACGACCTAGGTCCAGCAAAAGGCCCTGATCCCACAACCCATAAATTTACATACATCCCATAAATTTACCCTCACCCTTGCCCTCTTGCCACTGCAGCCAGGCAGAGAGAAGAGCAGGTACCTAGCCTTACATTTTCTGATATGTGAGGGAAGTATTCTTCTAAACTCCCTCTCCAGCTCTTCATCTCTTGTGTGTATAACTAAGAGATCGTCCCTACTTGCACTGTAGAAGACCACGCTGAAATTGCTAAATACTTGCCCTCTGAACTTGCATGCATTACACTGCACTGTGTGGTCCTAATTACCGACCCCAGCGGTGTTAGTGTAATGCATAGTACCTTTCCAGGCACCTTTCCTTATGGAGAGGACTCCAATAGAAAAAATTTAGCCAAACTGTCAAGACGGATTTAAATAAATTAATTGCCCTGGCTAAAATTGATTGCTCTTTGGCATTAAATTGAGCATATGAAACTAGACAGTTAGAGTCTGCTGCGATGTCAAACCCATCTGTCTTCCTCTCCTCACGGCATAATCATCACTGTCAGTCTCTGACATCCTGACACCACCACTTAGGCAGCTCTGAAAGGTGCAAATTCTGATTCTCCCTGGAGCTGGAAACAATGAGCCTGTGCTGGGAGTCAGTTTTATCAACGAAGCTGCTGTGCACAGGGCTTGACAGGTCAGTACAGGTTCTAAGTCATGTGTCTGCAAAAAGCAGGCAATGCTGCTGAGTGGCATGGTCTCTGGCAATGGAGCAGAGAAATTTGGCAGAGAATGAGGCCAGAGTTCCAGCTCAAACCGAGCCCATGTACCCTTCTTCCCTTCTCCAAAACATCAGCTGTAATTTATAAGAGAACTGCTAGAAATCTGCATTGTGAAAAGCCTGCAGGAGCCTAAGGATATTGCCATTACTTGCAATATTCACTATTCTCCCCCTTCTATGGGGAAAAGAGGCCATTGTGTAGATAAGGCATCTAAAATATTATCACTGGTCACAAGAAATGCATTTAGTCTCTCCCCAAAAGAACAAACCTGGTACCTGTCAGCTAAGAGTTCTTTTGAAGGCAGAAGCTAGCAGTTCTGCAGAAAGGACAGTATAGACACCTCTGACCAGCACTGGGAAGGTCCAGTGGGTTCTCAGGAGTGACTCCCCACAGTCCTGAGGGCAGGTGGGCCATCAGCACTGCACCTCTTCACATTCAGCAGCAGCTATATAAATGCTAGGGCTGGACAGGCACAATCCCTTCTCCTTGCATGAAGAACCAGCAGGTCTGACACAAACATATTCTTCACAGCAAGTCACTTCACATGCAGCCATGCTACATAATTTAGGACAAGACATAAACACAACTGGGGAACGTAATAAATGGCTCAGGAAAAGGAATAATTATCTGAATTGTACTCAGGTGCAATATATTCTTTAACACTCCAATTAAGAAAAATCACCACAGGTTCCTGCAAACCTACCAGTGACTTGAATCTCTGTGTCACTCAAAGCTCTGAGAATAGTAGAGTAGTTCATTGATCTCAGAACATTGATGTCTGAAACCAAGATGACCTCAAACATTATTGCTGGTGTTCCAAAATCTGCCATATGCCTTCCATAAGATACTCCTTCAAGAAGATTTTTATGCGTAACCATTCTGAAACTATTTTTTCCCATGACCTTTCTCCTATACAATCCCAGGCTCCCCCAAAGCACTCTAGACTTCTCCATAAGATCACATGGCTCCCTCCCAGTCTTCCACATTGTGCAAAGATCCAAACCTCTCGCAGGACAGGCTTCTTCCCGACAACTCAGCTGACTTGCCCTGAACATTTCAGTGCTGAGCTTCTAGCGCAACTTCTGTTTTTCAGAGTAAGCAGAGCCAAAGACCTGGAAGGAACCGAACTCAACAAAAGCTGCTCTTTCCCACTGTGATCAGTACTCCCAGCTTCAGAGCAGCAGCGGTTGTGCAGACTGAGATTACAGAAAGCCATCACAGAAAAATATCCACCCAGGGTGTCCATCCACAACTGCCAGCCTCAGCTGAAAGCAGCTTCCACAGGGACCAGCAAATTAGTCATTTCAAACCCTAAAAAGGAGATTCACTAATCAGTGTCTACCCTATATTGCCAGCTAATAGGATGTTGACTTCATTTCTATTACAATACAGATGTTTTAGCAGCATGACTGTATTATTTACCTACCATTTCCCACTGAGTCAGATTGCAAAAAATGATATGTCTTTATTATGGGCCACTAGATATGAGTGGAAGAGAAACTCAGTGGGAAATTTCATGTTGCAAAGCTGACTGCAAGGTCATTGCTCTGCCAGTGCAGAGCAAACTATTTCTTTAGGCTGGTTATGAAGCCTTCAATTCAGGGAAATGATGATCATCTAAAAGTCATTTGATTACATTTGATCTAAGCTCAAAGAATAGAAGTACCACAACAGTGAGTACAAATAGTCAACTTCAGCAGTGAGAGGGAATCTGCCTTGTTTGAATTCATGCAAAAATGTGTATTGGAAAGAAACACTACGCATGTAAAATAGCGTAGCACTCTGAAGGATGCTTGTGTGAATTTGGGTTAGCATCTGGTAGCACAGCACTATTTGTCCTGGGCAGCAGAGGGCACTGCCTTTATGGCCTGGTTTAACCAGAAAAGCAGGGAAAGCTTCTAGAGAGACTGGGACCTGTATTGCAAAAGGTCCTATACCATACTCAAGCATTTTCTTTCTACTTATGTAAGTTTGCAAGTGGTGAAATCAGGAATAGTTGGTGCAAACACTTGTATTTTGTCACACTGCAACATTTTTGCTCTTTCAGACATAAATAGGTAGATAGATAGATAGATATTTTTTCCCATCGCTCTTTCTATACAATCCGAATCTTAAAAAGCCTAAGAGTGACAGTATTTTCAGGGAGAAGAATTAAATAAACTAATAATTTTTCAGTAAAAATAGCCACTGTAGGTATTACAATGTTATTACTGTCAAAATCTCATATTTCACAGGATCATACTGAATGGTAAGGAATAACATACACAATTCTAATTAAGTATCCTTCCAGCATGCAGCCAATGGGGATCCCAATCCCAGTCCACCCACCCATTCCACCGAGTCACTGCTTGTCGTTTTTTCAGCCCAGTCATGGTTTCATTACCTGGCAAGGTCTAGGCTTTGCCCTCGAGCTCTCCCAACCTGATCTGCTTCATCTGGACATACCCTGACCTTCAGGTCCTCAACCAATCTCTTTGTTTCACTCCTTTTCTATCAGCTTCAACTTTTAACTCCCCACACAATTTCCTCAGCTTACTGTTTCCCAGACACATTATTCCTATCTCTTCCCTCCTGCAGCTCACATCTCAGTGTCCTGCTGTTCCCCAGGCTCTTCACCCCTTGGCTCTTCATACAATATTAGTGTCCCACACTTTCCCCTAGCTCCAGTGCTACATTTTGCAGCCTTTTCCAACTCACTGTTTCCTGAAGCACTCAGCTGTGGGCACGTTCCTCTCTTCATAGCAGTCTCCTGGTCCAGGAGATGACCCTTCCCTCCAGGAGATGACCCCTCCCTCTCCACACTTGTCTTGCTCCCTCTGTTTTTCAGTCAAGTAGTTTTCTCATTGTGCTGCCCAGACCCAGCACAAGGATCACTGAGGATACAGCAGAAATGGCTTTTATTCACAGTGCCTAGAACCGGACCAAAGTGTTTTTACAGCTGCAATATCAGAAATGTTTCTCTCAGCCCTGAGCAGGGCATGCATTCTCTCCATGGGCAGCAGCTCAGGGATTTTAGATGCTCAAATCTAAGTCTAAAGTTTGTGTGTACTGCAGAGAGTGGAAAAGGGCCTATAATTTCTCTGGATTTTCCTAAGCGTGGCAAAGATAAAACTCTGGCAACCCCCAAATTTCAACTCATATTTCAACAGAAATGAAAGCTTCTCAAGGGATAGAACAACAGGTTTTCTGTTTTACTTTAATAGAGATCCAATAATAAGCCTAAGAAATTGTTAATTGATTTTAATATATAAAAAATAACCTGTCTATAGCAGATGGTCAGTAAGTAAAAATGTAACCCTGATGATTATGAGCATCAAAAGGTTAGAAGCACTTAAAGGTAAGGATCTTATAATAGGAAGTTCTGAACATTTTTAGTTATTGGTAAGGCTGCCAGTCCCAACAGGTATAATTAAGGCATTTTGATGAAAACGTAAGGACATTCAGGAGAACAGATGTGCTTTTGGCCTTTAGGATCTAAAAATATTAGGGATGAGGAGTTCCACTTATCTCCCACTAAAAAGTCAAAAACCAGGAATAAAAATTGCACAGACGCACCCATTGTCAAAAACACTGCTAAAAACCACACATGAACAGAGAGAACCTGAATGAACCTGAAGTATGAAAATATCCTTGACTAGGTATAACATTATTCAAATCTATTACTAACTTCACACTTCTCCACAAATTTGGTTAGCTCAGATTAAAACAGTGCTTCTTACCTCATCTTGTGGCCTTTCTTGGTGTGAAACTCCCACTGACTAGAAGGGTTTGGGGAATTTTTCATTAATAAGATCTGCTGGCCTGCCTCTTCTCTTTTAAGTTTCTGGAAGAGGAGGTCTAATTTCTAAAAACATTCTAAGAACATTAAAAAAATGCATTTCAGCATCACTTGAAAACAAGCTCTTTGCACAGCTTTATTCTAAGGATTGCTTTTGAGTTTAGATGCATGTAAGAAATCTTAATTCAAATGATTAATCATTTTTAAAAATTACTAGTGCCTGAAAATACAGGCCAAGATTGGAAATTCATCCCACAGACATAACTTAAATGAGGTAATTGTAATAAACTAATTACAAAATCACACCAATTACCACATTTTAAACGCAACCATGGACCAGGTCAGCTAACATTTAAAATCCTTTCCAACAGCAGTACAGTAAAGCTGGGAACAGTCTTTAACCATGTGGACCCATTTTTGCAGAATGTACACAAGCTCAAACCCACTCTCTTTTGCCCACAGGGAGCTGAACCATGGTCATGCTCCACGTCACCAGAGCGTTGCTGTCTAATGACGGCCATGAGGACCATTTCCAGCACCTGTGTGCTTGGGGATCCTAAGAATTCCTGAGACAA